TTGTGACCTTTTGGCGAGGGCTGACCTCAAACCACGATCCTCCCCATCTGTCTCCCAAGTAGCTAGGATTACAGGTGTGAGCCACTGGTGCCAGGCTGAGGTAGGACTTTGTGAGATGCTTCAAATCTATCTTTCTTCTCCAGTGACTATGGAGAAGTCACTGGAGAATGCTGCTTTTTATAGCTGTCATGTTTGAAAGGCTGCTGGTTTTCAACACCATCCTGGAACTAGAAAGGAGGAGAGATAGAAAAAGTTAAAATGATAATAAGCTCTCTGTTTTTACTTTAAAGTAAGCTGTGTTTCTTAAATGTTCTTTGAATTGTTTCAACTCTTTATCTACTTTTCAGAGTTATGAAAAAGTTAAATTTTACAATTTTGTCAGTGTTCTTTTAAAAAAATTGGTAACACTGGGGTTTAAACTCAGAGCCTTGTGCTTGTTAGGCAGTTTGCTATACTCCCAGTCCTTTTTGCTTTATTTATTTTTCAGATAAGGTCTTGCACGTTTGCTCAGGACCGGCTTCCACTAATATACTCCAATCTTTGCCACCTATGTATTTGGAATTACAGTTGTGAGCCTCCATGCCCAGCTTGTTCTTTGAGATGGGGTCTCAAGAAAGTTTTTTGTCTAGGCTGGCCTTGAGTCATGATCCTCTTATTTCTGTCTTCCAAATAACTGGGGTTACAGGTGTACACCATACACCCAGCCCTTTGTCAGTGGTCTGGCTGCCATTATGGAGGCCAAAGTTTTAGAGTTCCTTCCTCTGTCATTCTTGATGATATGCCACAAATCCATGCTATTTTAACCTAATACTTCCCACTCAAGTGTCTCTTAGCTGTTTTTATCTCGGGGGTAAACTCTAGGAAGCTACACCTATGTTGCAGTTCATGTGGTCAGAAGAATTTGCAATACTTCCACTTGAGAGGTGAGTCATTCCTTCACAGATTCAGATGACACTAGCCATAGAAGTAAGAAAAGCCACACATTGGAAATATACTTCCATACCAACCAAACCCCTTTGTGCTAATCCTAGCCAGGCTCTTGAAATTCTGGGGTACAGCATGGCATTCTGAGTACCTGCACCTCATACCCCATATGTGCTCCTCAAGACCATGGCATGCAAGGTCCTCAGAACTGGCCCCAGTTGCCCCTGTTCCCACCTGACACCTGCCCTGCATCCCTTCCATTCTACCTCTGCTGCCAATGAAAGAAGCGGACTGGCCCCCAAGGTGTAAGCAGTTCGGGGCAGGTAGCAATGGCCTTACCCTTCTTTTCTCTTTTGTGCTCTCTCAGGAGCTCTCACAGCATGGGTTGATGGTAGTGACGTGCAGGTAACCCGGTTCCAGTCCTCTATAGCTGTAGTTGTGACTGTTTATCTCCTTCTGAAAGAGAAACTCACCTCACACGTTTGCAATTGTGACACTGATGACTTTGTTGTCTGTTTCTTTGAGTTTCTTTTACATTTCACATTCAAACTCCTTGAAGGTGGGGGTTTTAATTTATTTTTTCCTAACATCTCAAGAGCCTAACATAGGCCTGACACATGCTTAGCTTGCAGAAGATGTTTTTGGAGTTATTGAATGACTACATCTCTGGTGAGCTCTACAGATACACATTGCCTACCAACCAGGAGTTCCTACCTAAGCTCCCTTGGCCACCACATGCATCACACAGTCTTGTTGAGCCAGTTCCTTTGCATTTCGATGTTCTTCTTCCACTTGCACAATTTACTCTTAATAGCCAATTAAAAATTCACCTATTCAGACTCTTTATTTCCCAACATGATCTAGTTCCCTTCTTCTCTTTGTTCTAATAATGCTTTGAAACCTCTTTCTCTTAGCACATCAAGCTATGAGTGTTTATTTACATGTAAGTTCTTATTAGAGTATCTGCCACACACAGGGATGCAAAAATGTTTGATGAGTTACTAAATGAATGTAGACTCTCAACTTGACTGCAAAGATCCTAAAAGTTGAAGAGCATTTTTTGTATGCTCCAAGCATTGTCCTTGGCCCACAGTGGATTAGTAATACTGTTTCCTTAATAAATAAATCAGTGATACAAAAAAGTATACCTGATTATCCAGAGAGTTAAAGGAAAGTCCTGACCTGATCACTCATGCAGTATTTCAGGTACACAGTGGGCCGTCCACCTTCACATACTCTGTGTCCTTGGACTCAAGCAACTGTGAATTGAAAATATTCAGAGAAAGAAAATTGCATCCTTACTGAACAAGTACAGACTCTTTCCTTGTCATTATTCCCTGCCACAGCACAACAAATTATTACATAGTATTTGCATTCTATGAGGTATTATAAATAATCTAGAGATACTTTAAAATAGAGGAGATGAGCATGGGTTAAGTGAAAATACCATTGCCATTTTATAAACATCCAAGGACTTTGATACTCCAGTGACTCCTGTAAGTAATCCCACTGGAGACCAAGGGAGGCCTGTTCTAAATTGGCTCTTGTGACAGGGCACAGAAAGCCTTGGGGTGAGACAGAGAAAGGGATCCCAGGTAGATGAACACAACAGGTGCAAGTCTTATGAAGAGAGAAGACTTTGAATGAAGCAGGCTTATGTAAGGGACAGGGCTTAGCAAGCCAAGCCCACAATGGATTTCATATCCTTGCTCCACATTTGGATGATATGTGTCCTGTGTAAGTCTCATCAAGTCAGTAATCCTGCGTTCCTGCTTGTCATCCATGGTGATTGTCTTTGTCTCCCACTGAGAGTCGCTGCCTTCTTTAATGTGGACTGAGGGACTTGCTTTTACTGACAGCCAAATATCATCCATCTGTGGTTCTGAGCACAGCCTATCTTTTCCAGGATACATGGTTTTTTAAATAAAGTGAGGATGAGTAAATCCATGGTTATGACACTCTTGACAGTATAATTGATAGGGGAACGATTCTTTGTTCTCAAAGCCTATTTTTCAGGCCACTGGGGGCATTTTATCTAATAATTTTAATTTTGTTAATCTGAAGTGAAAATGATAAACTCTCTGTTGCTGATAACTTGAAATTATGTATCTGAGAAATGACTTACGTTTAAGAATAATTCATCTGACTCTGAAATAATTCTCTGCTTTAGAACATTTTAATTCCTTGCTAAGGGTGAATATTGAGCATATTTTTTCAAAAGAAAAATGTAAACAAGCAAGAATATTTCTAGGGAGGCAACTTTACTTATTTTGCAAGAAGTTGTGTTCTCTGGCTGGGTGGCAAGGAGGGAAGGGGAAGGAGATCCCTTGGTGGATTAGGACTACAAGTAGAGAGCGAGAAGACTCTTCCCAGAACACATTCCTTACTCCCTCAGAGGTCATCATTTACATCATATATGCTGTCTCCAGAGCGAAGATATCCCAGTGGTTTTTTTCTGTGTTCAAAACAACTGTTGATTATTCTGTTACGTTGATCAGGCACATGTTTTAACAAGTATGGACTTCTACCAGTTTACACAGAAGTAATATTACCCATATTTAACTTGATTGACTGGTTTGGAAATTTGGAATATTCACAAAAACTTCCAGAAAGAAGTATTGCTCTAGCTTGAACACTTTGGCCATAATAGGTAACAATGCCATAATGTTTTCAGGAATACACTGCATTCTGGAGGTCACATAGCACAAGTGAGAGAAAGGTATGTGTTCTTCCATTTTCTTGAGTACAGGGCTAAGCTTTGACAAAATTTGGAAATGGCTAATTCCTGATTTCATATTCTCCTTCCTGAATTATGGTGCTCCTAACCTTTGCAGCCCAAGTTTTGACTCAGAACGCAGCTCTCACAGGGACCTGTCAAGTGTCTATCCTTCTAAGGACATGTAATGAGTAAGGCATGTGGACTGTAGGCATTTTGTTTCTAAAGACACTCAAATGAATGGCAATTCTCTCTCTCTGTCATAAGGAATCATTTTTGATGGGAAGTGGACAAAACTTTGACTTAAAGTCAAGGATATTCAGTATATATCTTTCCATTAAAGAACATTGCTGAATCTTTAAGTTAAAATAAGGAGAAAGCATGACAATAGCTAAAACTGACATTTCTATCCAGTTTTATCATAAGGAGTTACAGGAGTTGAACATGCATTCAGTATCTTTTGCCTCCCATCTGTCATCAAATCCATAGGTTCCTTGACAGGTGTAAATCATTTGCATTCTCTACTACAACATCTACCACCATTTGTTACTGCTTTTTCACTCATTTGTCTTTCTCACTAGCCACGAACTCCTGAAGATCAGTGACTACCTATTATCCATCCTTTAACCCTTCAATCTATTTGTAAAATTGTATTAAATTTAATAAATAAGTTAATTTTTGGTACATATTTTATTAGGTAAAATGATAATTGAAACAGTAAATTAATGAATTCATTAATCAATTCTTCTAAAATGTGAGACTATTTCACAATAAATTATTCAAAAGTAAATATAACTTCTAATTGAGAAGTCTTTTATCAGTTTTAAAGTAGTAATATAAACTGTATACTGATGATTACCTAATGAGTTGATTGCATAGCTAATATTTAGTTAAATATTAATAGTGGGAGGATCATTTCTAGAATTGTTATTGAAACATTTGATGCTATTTTCAGACTTTAACAATAATGTCATTTAATGAAATGAACATTTAAACCGCAATTTTGCTTTTTTAGTAAAATATTTTTCAAAACTAAATTAAGTTTTCCATTAAAAAGAAGGCATTTCAGGCTCAGGAGACCAAAAGCCACATGTTCTCCCTCATATGTGGAATATAGACCTAATACAACTTTGTATTAGGCGACACCTAAGTGACTTTGGCGACACCAAAGTTCGTGGACAGGACACACAGCAATAGTATGAAAAACAGGTCACATCCAGGGGAGGTCATATAGGAGAGGGGAAGGGTAAAAGAACATTGAGTAATTCCTAATAGTGTACCATGACACTACCTCTATTATTTGGTGCTTGTTTTTAATTCAGTTCTAGTGTCTAATTGTATGAAATATTTTAATATCTAGGGTTTCATCTGCCAGACTTAATAATTTTTCCCGCTTGGAGCCAACTCTTCATCTTCTGGGTGTGCAGTTTGATCAGAACATGGCCCAAAGCATCATTACCGAAAAGCCTGGGGCAGCAACAAAGCTTTTATATCAATTGTACATTGCTCTTCAGAAAAAGAAGAAAAGCGGACTGACTGGAGTAGAACTACAAACCATGCAACCACAGACAAGTGTGAGACTTCAAAACATGAAAAGTGAGGCTTTCCGAGAGGTAGGCACACCACCATGTGAACGTGGTAAAGAGCAATGTGCTGTGTTCTCAAAGAACTCCCATGCCTCTATGTGTGTTAGGAACCATGCTTGGTCTTTAATATGAATATGTTGAATTCATTTACCCACTTTTGATGTCTTCCTTCTTCCTATTCACACTGCCAAGAGCTTCTCAAATTCTTTTTCTCGTTCCCAGTACTTTTGTGCCTTTTTTTTTTTCATTTCTCCCTCATCAGATGTACTCAGGTCTCCTTTTGTGCTAATGCAACAACCTGCTACTATACCTTCCGAGCTTCGTAATTTCTGCTAGAGGCCAAATGACTGCCAGGTGAATCTCCCCTAAATTCCAGATTCATTGGATTCTTTGGCTCAGGAATATATGTCAAACACATCCTATCTCTAACTTAGACTGACCTTAAAAATCCTTCTCTAAACAGTCTCAACCTATCTTCCCAACATTATGTCTTCATAGTCCTTCACATAAAGTCCATGTTGATTGACAACAAGTCCTGAATGTGAGTCGTACATTCCTGTTCTTTCTTCCCTCCTACCTTTCTCATCTCTTCTCTTTCCCAAACTTCTCTTTTGCTTCTTCAGCCTTCCCAGTACACATGCATTCTTCCTTTGGAACTCATAGGGCACAGGTAATTCTCTCTCTGGGTGTTAACTTTGTGATACTGATATGTTGGCTAACTTCACTTTTTGTCATATGACCTCAAGGATTTTAGTACCTCAGATTCAAGGAATATGACTGCTACAATGCTTTGAACTTTGCAAATAATCAGTAAACATGTTTTGTCAACTTTTAGTTGACAATTCTCTCCAGTCCCTATGCTATTTACTTATGCTGAGTAAGTGCATTAGCTTTTCCAGGTCACTGTATTAATGGTGAGTGATGCATTGTTGGGACACACTAAATATAAATGGAAATAACTAAAAATTTTAATTTAATTTATTAAGCATCAATGACATAGTTCATGTGAGAGCATCACTATTTTCAGATTTGTCCATTCTTAATTGACATTCTTATAAAAGTGGTAGTGAGATGACTCAGCACCCATGGAAAGCAAGAAATAAAGTTAGGCTTAAAGCCAAGTAACTTAGTACTGCATTCTTCTCCCTTTACATGCAAGCTGGTTCATGTCGAACCAGTGCCTGTGACACTTTCAGCCTTAATTTTTCCAATTGTAAGAAAAGGGTTATTATCTCTACCTGCCTCAGCATTGGGCTTTTGTGTAGCTTCAAGAAGCCAATATATATAATAGACTGCACATCAGTTGACATGAGTGCTGGAAGAGCTGCCATACATGAGAACAAACAAGAGCTTGTCAGGCTTGATGCTGCCCAGGGTGGCCTTCCAGAGCTAATCATTCATCATTAAGCAGATATTTGTTAGGTTCAAGCACTTGCAAATGAACAACACAGGGAAAGTCCCAACTCTCTTAGCGCTTACATTTTAGGAAGAGAAAATGTCTGATTACGGTGTGGGATGGTAATTATTTGAACAGAAAGTTGAAGATGAGAAAGAAGGGAGCACAGATGATTCTCTCAAGAAATATGGAAGTAAAGGAAATGAAAAATTAAGAACAGTAGCTGTTCTCAGTTGGAAGTGGGAGATCATTTATTTTATGGCCATAGAAACTAGGACAAGTTGCCAGTTGAGAAAAAGAGTCAGTTGCAGGAGATGGACGTGGTATGAGAACTTAATGGAAATATGTGCTCTGGGGAAGAAAAGAGGAGGCAATCAACAGTTTGTGTGGAGGAAGGCTCAGGAAAGAAGTAGAGATGCATTTTTCTTACATCAGATGGGGGGAGGTGCAGGTGGCCCATTATATAGAAATATTAACCATGGCTGGAACTTAGTGAATGCACACAGTGATACACCATGCCCTGTTCTTGGTGCTTTATCCATATTTTCTCACTTGATCTTCACAACACCCTATATTGTGAAGTTTTATTGTTTCTGTTTTACATGTGATGAGACTGGGTCACTGAGAGGTTAGGTAACTTGCTTAACTTCAGGAAGCTAGTAGGTGGTAGAACTGAAACTCAAGCCTAGGAAGTTTTACTGTTCAATGCTTTACTAGGGAGAACATTAAGAAATGGGAAGAATCTGGTTTCTTAGATTATCTTTTATATGTTGGGATTGGCCATATGAAATTATTTTTGTGAAAATGTTTTTCCAAGACTATAAATACGTTTCACTGAAAATCAAACTCAGGCAAAAATAAAAGTATAAAAATGTATGTGATATTATTTGGTAAGAAGGGATTCAAATCATATTTTACCGCCCTCAGGTCAGTTAAAGCGTGAGTGATTGACATGAGGTTTGAATTTAATTCTCAACAGTGGTAATTCGGAGAAATTTACTTTGAAGACAAATTTTATGTGTGTTTATAATGACAATATGCTCTTTATTCACTGGTAACAGAATCTTTTGAAATACTTTTTTCATTTAGAGACTTAAAAACCTGATACCACGTCAAACTGATTTTGATCTGATGCGGGTTGCACACAGGTTTGAAGAAAAATATAGACGCATGAATGAAGATGTTGCCCGAATGCATTTCGAGAAACTTGAAAGAGTTCAAAAACTTGAGGAAGATCAAAGATATTTTAATATTGAAAAGGTTTTATAGAACAATTTTTCCAGAAACTCATTAGTGCATTGTATAGTATTTGTGATTTATGCCTGTAGTGCACATTGATTTATGCCTAGAGTATGCAGTAACATAGCACGAACTGCATTTTCCTGATTCGTGACTTTACCCACCTACTCCCTACCTTTTCCCCTTCTCTTTATCAGCACTCTTGCTGACTGTTACCTCCACTTGTGGCTAAGATAATAACTGCCATTCCCTGGAGTGGCAGGACAACTTGACCTCTTTCATGGGTGGAAATATATGCTTCAGCTGTTTTAGGATGGATGCTTTTCAAAAGTCCGTAACCACTGTCACCAAGGGAAAGTGGACACTTTCCCTCTTCTCTCCTTTCTTTTGCAATCCCTTGGACTTTCTATCTTGTCTTGTTCTCTCTTACGGGGTAATTCTCTGTTTGCTTCCCTTTCTAACTGTGTTAAACATCTTTCAGCATCCTGGTTCTTGATTTCTGCTTTGGTTAATTCCCTGCTGCTTCTAAAATTTCTCTTAAAATCTTTAATGATCTGTATATTTAAGGACACAAGTAGAAATGACATACAGAATCATTGAAAATGTAAAGAGAATTTCTGGTGACTGGGTATATGGGGTGTGTAAAGTACAGGCAACAGAATTATAGCTCTTCCTATTGTACTTTAAAATCACTTCCCAAGTTTCTGTGATAAGAAATCTATATGCCCTGAATGTAGTAAGGTCCTCATGGGTAAGGAAGGGGGAAGATGAGAGGCAAGCTCTGGAGGGTTTTCTGACGCTATCACTTGGCAGAGTAAAAGATTTCACTTACCCTTGGCACTGCATGGTAGCGACAGGACACTGTTCAAGTCATATTTTAAGTTGGTTCCAAGGGCTGGGACTCTATAATTTATATGAAGCCAGGCTGTCCAGCTTTGAAGTTCCAAGTATAATGCAGACAACCTATGAGAAAGTTGGAGAAAAGGAAATATGCCACGAATTATTTTGAAGTAAATTGTGTTAAAATAATCAGAGCCTATAACTTCCTGGTTTTGGTAAGAAAAAAAATAAACATATGATAATTAAATTTAAAAATCACATTTTTAAAAGTGAAATAAAAACCAATAAATGGTCTACAATTTCCACATTTTGATGGTAAATTTAATTTTCTTATCTTTAGATGTAGGAACTAATGATCTTATTACTTCTAATGTAATGCTTTAGTGGTAAATTCATGAGCACTTTCATGTTACCTCTTAAATATTTGATTTTAGACATTTTCTCTTTCAAATATGTCCTTCTGCTTATTTTGTCCTCAAAATAATTACTACTTGCATACTGAAGAGATTATCTAATAGTGACAAAAATAATGTCATTTAATGTTAGGGGTGTCTGAGGTCATCCCTGAACTCATGTGCAGGTGTGACTGGGTATGAGAACCTGTCATTTCTACTGGGTACCCAGAACCCCTCTTAGAGACTGTCTCCTGGATTGCATTTTCCCTGCAGACCATCCTCAGAGACAGAATTTTTTCTTCCCATGATTGGGCAGGTCATGAGGGTGGGACGGGGAAAGAATAAGAATCTTTGTTCTTAGAATATCTTTATTACCCTTTCATACCACTGCACTGAATGAAACCACATGCATTTGACAGTTATAGTTTGAGAATTACAAAATGTTTTAAGATCATACTTTTAAAAATAAATCATATTGACAAGTGCATTGGTTAATTACTGGGTTCTGAAAATTTCAACAGATAAATCATGTATGTGTATATGGGTATATCTGTGCATATATTACATTGCCTGTTATTCTGACAAACTGAATAACTCATGTGTATGGGATACTCAGCAACGCTTAAGCAGAAGACGACAAAATGAAATAATGGCCAAAATCCAAGCAGCTATCATACAGATTCCCAAACCTGTGTCCAATCGCACTTTGAAAGCACTTGAGGCCCAAAAGATGATGAAAAAACAAAAAGAAGCAGAGGTAAGTGATAACTGTTTACTATTGTGCTATGTGTATCTTAATTAAGGATCATCCTTCCAGGCTAGGCATGTAATCTCAGCACTGGAGAGGCAGAGGCACCAGGATCTCAAGTTTGAGGCCAGCCTGGGCTGCATAGTGTGAGACTTTGTGTCAAGGAAAAACAAACAAACCGTTGAATGATCTTTCCCTAAAACACATAGAGAGACCTTCCAAAACTTATTTTCTTTTCAAATTATCTCTGGCCTTGTCAATTCTTATTAAAAATTCCTCCAGTCTATGCATATCCAATAATTTTACATTGGTATATGTTCAGAAACAGAGAGTGTAGCTTTAGCCAGACACGTTAAACTCTTATTAAACTCTTGTATCTTTAGAGTGATTCTGTGATTGCTAATAAAGGAGGCAAAGATGATAGCTTTTGTGATGGCTCATAACTGTTGTGGGTACAAGTTGAGAGATACATACCATAGATATGCCATTCTGCCTCACCATGTAGCACTATTTGGCTATGAATCCCAAGAATGCTAAATTACTTGAGTATGAGTAAATTCGATACCACTTTAGTTACATTTTACTAGAGCACAGCAACTGTTGGCCATTCCAGTAGGGTAAAATCTGGCTACATTTCATAGGAGGGCGATACTACATTTTGAGGCTAACTCCTGATTGTCGATATTGTCTCATGTGACCTCCTCAGGATAGTAGCTGCCATTTACTGGGTATTTTTTATAAGTTAGGCTGTGGATTGGCACTTTGCTTTATTGTTAACTTGTTCATAACTCTTGAAGTAGAGTATTACTTTCCCATTTTTTAGATAAAGAAATGGAGACTATGAAAGCTGACATGTTTTACTCAAGTTCACCCGTGCTGGTAAAAAAGGGACTGGCATATGTCCCTGATCCCTAAATCCACTGAACTTGAATCAATTCACATTTCTTTTCTAAAAAATACTAACAAAATGCCTTGTACTTATATTCTAAAAAGTATTACCCATAGAAGCTTCTTTTTAAAAACATGTTTACTAGCACATATTAGTTGTACAGGGGGGTTCACTGTGACATTTACATCCATGCTTACAATGTATCTTACTTAGATTCACCCCTCCATTGTTCTTACTTATCTCCCAACTCCCTTCTTAAAACGATTTCACCATAGAAGCTTCTTCACGAGCCCATTTTAGTATTGGATGCCCGTATTTCTCTGAGTTGACCAAAGATTATTAATAAGGACTTGTAGTACATAAGCATGAGCTGAAGTTAATTTTTAGAGAATGAATTGATAGTATAAATAAGGTTGCATCAGAAATTTTTAAAACACCCAATGCAACAATTTTTATAGAGATATATATATCCAAAAAGTGCATGTGGTGACTCATTGATAATCTTCATTTTCATTAACTACCTTTTGGCACAGTATTAGACTCATGAACTGAATGATTCAGGTTAGACAATTTTCGCTCTCCAAAATAACAAATAAGAATTACAAAAATATTCTAGCATGCAGCTTTTCATATCTTGGCTTCTTGCTATTTTGAATTAGTAGTGTGTATCACCTAATAAGTTTGGATGAATATGGTAAATGAATAATTTCAATGGTTTTTAGAGGTAGAGAACTGATGATGGTTTTTCTTTAAAGGATGTGGCCAAAGAGATTAAGAAGTTTGAAGCATTAATAAAAAAGGATCTCCAGGCAAAAGAAAGGTGGGAGGTGAACTATTTTAGTAATCACAAAACTGTTCTGTTCTATGCATAAGTTATGAATGTTTAGAAGGAATTTATCAAGTGCAGCTACTCCAAGTATCTTTCACTTTGGAGAAGCTTCATTTAGAGAGTAGATGAGGGAAGCTCAGGTCAGTCGCTCGTTAACAACTTGTATAACGATCAAGAGGGCATTATGAAACGTGAAGTTGATTTATTTTTTATGCTATGCTTATTCTTCTAAGTTCAGAAATATTTTTAAACATTCAAAAAAGTACTCACTTCAGCACCATCTATACTAAAATTGGAGCAATAGAGAGTGAGCATGGTCCCTGAACAAGCATCACATACAAATTTGTGAAGCATTTCATATTAAAAAATTAGTAAAATTGTATCAAGTTACCACTAATTTAAATTTGTCACAGAAAAGCCTTCATTAGACTCTAGTTTGGTTTCTTTTATGTCGTAGCCTTAGCATTTAGTACAGAGTCCAGAAATAAAGAGTTGCTAGATGACTTTGTTGACCAAATGTTACTAAGAGAGTCAGTTTGGTAAGTTTTATGCAAATGGTGCCTCATTAATGGTGCCTAAAGGCAAACATTCCCTATCCCTTTGCTGACTATTGTAGGTAAGGGAAAATAATTGTAAAGGAGGGTGAATATAGTTGAGATACTTTCTGTGCATGTATGGAACATTGAAACCTGTCAAAGTCATTTTCAGAAGGAGAGTGGGGGAAGAGGGAGAATAAAAAATTCTTCCAAAAATAAAGTTCATATTCCATGGTTTTCTCTCCTAAAAAAATGAAAATAAATAAAATGGAAACTATCCAAACTCTACTCATGTGTGTATTATAGGCCATGGAAGAGTCTTTTGTTAAAAAAGAAAAACAGAATCAAACCATTTCAGTTACTTACTAATGTTTCTGAAGGAAGGGATAATAGAGGAAATGAGGAGAGGAATAAGAAAGAGTCAGGGAAGAAATAGTGAGAAGGTCAGGTGTGGAAGGAGAATCAAGCAAAATGGAGAACACATACTATTGTTCCTCCAACCCTCTGCAAAAACCCCTGATCCCTATCTGACACTCATATTCATCGCCGTTGCTCCTTACCCCTAAAAGCCTCAGAATCCAAGCCTACTCAACTGGGCAGCCACCACTCCACTACACCAACCCTGACCTTGACCCATGAAACCACCTAGTTTCTTCTTTCATTCACCTCATCCGCCACAGGTTCAGTGGTGTTAAACAGATGAAGCCCACCAGAAACACCATCTCAAAACACTGAAATACTTACTACTTATTGGTAGATCATATTCTTTATAGCTCCTTTCCTGGGACCCCTCAGTTTCCACAAATTTAGCAGCCAGAGCACAGCAGTGTTTTCCAAACCCTGTGTCAGCATCCGTTTGATTACTCTCCTTGCCATGTCAATTATTAATTTCAAGATCATGCTGAACAAAAGAGCCACAAACATCTACCCTGCTCCTTATTGCCGCCCCAACCTGACTCTAGGTCTCTATCAGCTAGTGTTAGAAACCCAGAACAACAGGCGTTAGATAGAAGGTTAATTTTCTCTGATGTTGGGAATTGGAAGGTAAGCAGCCCAGCATTTGTGTTGGAGCTCCATTGTCATCAAAGACTAAGGCTCCTCTTGTTTCACTTTTTCTCCACTGTGCTGTCACATTCATGATACAAGAATGTGCTGGATCTCTGGAAATTAGGCCTTTAGGGAAGTGAGTAGGCAAAAAGTAGGTATCCCATCTAAAAATGCCCGTGTTAAAAAGCCTTCCAGAAATTCCTCATAACTTTTCTTCTTGTGTTATTGACCAAAATGCAGTCTTGGGCACATCAACAGAATGACAGATGGAAATGCAGTGTATACATTGTTCTCCTGAATAAATTTGGGATTATGATTTGAGAAAAAGGAAGGGAAATGGAAGAGTCTATCACAGATTTCTTCTTTGCAGAAGTCTGCACTTAGTCCTGCCAGTTTTCCAACTGAGGGCAGGGCTCATAATGTATTGACAGCTTCACTTATCAGAGCAGCATTGTAGGGCCGGGGACAGCTGGAGTCCTGGGATAAACAGCCTCACCTAGAACTAGAAATCCTTTCAGTGTGCTGCACAAAGATTGTTTTCTCTGATGACCACAAAATGAAAATTTAGAAAATGCTGATCTAAAGAAAACAAAGGCTATGAGACAATAGAGCCTTCATAGTCCTTTTATTAATCACTACTTTTTAAAGTTTATTTTGATTGTTTTTAGCTTAGAATCAAGTATGTTCTGGTCTCATTTAGAAACTTCACACTAAGTCAATACTAGAAAGCACTAAAATCTTACAGCTTGACCCTAAGGAGCAATTTCTGCAGCTGCCTCTTTTCACAGCTAGCCCCTGAACAATCCATCAGAGCCAAAGATGTCACCTCAAAATCCATCTTTTTTATGATGTGGAAGAGTGAAATGTTTCAATACTGGCAATGCAAGCGCTCCCATCACTGTTTTCCCCATACCATGCAAGGTTTATCAGGTGTTTTTTAGACAAATAATAAACACTCTTTTCTGTTTGTTTATTTATCTGAGGTTACTGGATACTGTAATGTAGTATTTGGATAAAAATATTTATCTCAGTCTTTTCCTAGCAACTGCTTTTTCGAAATACAAATTTCACCAGTTTATATTATTGATAATTCATACCTATACAATCACAACCTCTATATAATTCTGGCAAGCAAACAGATATAAAGAAAATATGGGCACGGCCCTTAATAAATCAAATCTAGAAAAATCATGAATGTTCAGGTAGCTATCATATTATTTTCTTTTTTAATTAAAAATTCTTTTTACTAATTATTGTCTTAATTACATGTATTTATGTGATACAGTGTGATAATTTGATACATATCTTCAGTGTGTGAAGGGCAAGTCAGAATAGTTAGCATTTCCATGTTCTTAAGTATTTTAAAGAAGTTTTGATAAACACATAATTGTATATATTTAGGAAATACAGTATGATAAATTGTTTACATTTTACAGTGTATACATTTTACTGATCTGATGTATAGTGATCAGATCAGAGTATTTAAAATTTCCATTATATTATCATTAATTTGTGTCTGAAACCTTTGAGCTCCAATAAGACATTTGATGGATGGATGGATGGATGAATTAATGGACTGAGTGATAAAATAAGAGTATTATGTTAAGTATGTTATTGGCAGTACAGATGTTAGGAGAGCTGCTAACCTGTGCTCAATCTAGGACAGAATCTAGGGCAGAATCTTTGAAACACACTTAGGTAAAAGAATGATAAGAATTTGGATGAATGATCTAAAAGTGTCATCCCACACAATTTTCATAATTTTTAACAATTTTCATAAATATTAATTTTATTAGATCTTAATAAATAAATAGGTTTAAACTATGACTTTGACCTTTTTGAGTCTTTGATAGCTACATAATTTGTGCTTAACTCCTCTCAGTGACAGAATACAACCAAACATTGAGCCCCTGTTGATAAAATAATAAGAATATCAGTATCTGAATTTTACATTTGTATTGTGAATATTAGCATGTTATTTGAATTTTAGGAGACCCCAACTACTTCTCAGGCATGCTAAGCACTGGTAGAAAGGAGGAAAACAGTATGCTTCTCTTATCAGCTCAGAAGTCAGCTGGGAGTAACACACCTACGAATTTTATGATCTGCAATAAGATCTGTATTATAAATGTGCAGTTATCACATCATTAAGCATGAGTTAACTAGATTTTTACCAAAATACTTCTGTCTATATGAGATATGATAGTTACTTAGTCCCTATATACTTTAATACTATGTCCTTGTTTTTTGAATTAGTTTGAATCAAATCAAACATATTAATTACTTAGGACATTAAAAAATGATTATAACATTAAAATCATTATTTTTGGCAAATAACACTATGGTATGTCTTATGCTTTTTACTGTTGTGTTCTACTCACTTTTTAAAGAGGTATGCAGATTAGACTTGATAATGCAATAGTTATATACATAAAAATGTATCTTTTACTTTTAGTGATAACTTTTGAAGGAATCTACAAATTCTATACCAAGACACCATTTGTCTCACTAAAATTAATGTGTTTGTTTCCTTTGGGGAAGACCACCAGGCTTCTCAAATCCTTTTCTCAGGATCCTTTAAATTTTGCATATAAGGTAGAACATGAGGTCAGTTTTTGTCCTACCTGTGGATGTGTCATGACAAGCAAGTATGATAAGCTTGTAGTAAAGACTGAACCATTGTCCTAAGCAGTCAGAACTTCATCTGGGAGTTCACAGGGTAACGTGCATCGTCACAGGTGAAATGAGAGTGGTTGTGGAGGGGACTATCCATAGAAATTCTCCCCTGACATTTGTCTGTCTGGGCTACTGTTATTGAGGTGTGATTTCCTGACTACCTACTGTTGTCTTAAAACAGAGGAAGCAAGAGATCCAGGGCCAGCAGAAAGATGAGGGAAAAATATCCAGACTCTCTAGGTAGGTTGAAGATCACAACAGGAGAAAGAACAAAAAAGTTATGGACCCATTAAAAAAGCTATGCTAAGGAGCTCACTGATAGAGTTCAGATATGGAGTGAAGCTATGAGTTTCATACTGAAGATATGGCATTTGCATTAATACTTCTATTAATAAACTAACAGAAATCAAGGGACCCTTCCCCAGAGGTCTTCAATAGTCACAAGTAGTGATATGTGATCACATTATTTTTGAAATCTAATATAAAAACTCTTGTGTTTAGTGCATCCAAGACTTACTTAGATCCAGCAGACCAGACAGCTGCTGATTTGTTAAATACTTACTCTGATGATGACTACATTAAAAAAATCCAGAAGCGCCTAGAAGAAGATGCTTTTGCACGAGAGCAAAGGGAGAAAAGAAGGCGGAGGTTGTTAATGGATCAGTTAATAGCCCATGAAGCACAGGAGGTAATATATTTAGATGTTGGTTAAATGACAGTGCTGGGAACTTTATACAATGTAGTCTTCTTTAAGTCTTCCATGTATCTTGTACATGTATTGTCTGCCATTCTGAGTCAAATATCCTTGATATATTGTTACATGTAAACAACAGATATACTTAGAAAAAAACCTACATATTTACTAAAGAATCTAAAATGTAAAGCTGGATGCCAGTAGTTTACACCTGTAATCCCAGCTACTCAGGAGACAGAGATCAGAAAGAGCATGGTCCAAAGCCAGCCCTGGGTAAACAGTTTTTGACACCCTCTCTGGAAAAAACCCATCACAAGAAAGGGCTGGTGAAGTGGCTCAAGTAGTAGAGCACCTGCCTAGCAAGTGTAAGGTCCTGAGTTCAAACCCCCATGCTGCAAAAAAAGAAAAAGACTAAAATCTAGTGATAGTTGCACAGCATTGTGAATTTACCTAGCTGAATCATACACTTAGAATGGTGGAAATGGTAAATTTTATGTTATATATATTTTACCACATTAAAAATACAGAAATAACATATTTCCATTTTTCTTTATGGCTGAGTAATATTCAAGGGTGATAGATAGATAGATGGATAGATATAGCCTTTTTTTGCCTATTCATTGGATGTTGGGGTGTGCAGGTATCTCTTGTGTATATATTTATACTCTTTCAGATTATGCCCGAGTGCCATGAAGGGGTCATAATGTAAGTCTCTTTTCAGTTTTTTTAGGAATCTCCATACTGATTTCCATAGTGGTTATGCTAGTTTACATTCCCATAAACAGTGTAGAAGAAATAAAAGGAATCTAAAAATGTATGTCAGTCATCTAGAGGCAAAAGAGAACTTTCAATGGAAACAACATGGAAGAGTTGTTTGTCCTCTCACTGGTCTACTCCAGTTATTCTCCAAATGTGATTCCTGGAGCAGCAGCTACAGGAAGACAAACAACTCTACCCAACCAGTCGAATCAGGTGGGGTCCCAGAAAAAGATTCTTATGTGTCTGCAGCTCTTACACTGAGCACATATATGCACTGGACCTCTTATGCTCTTGGTACTTTTTTGAGGTGCAGAGACACAATAGTGAGCAGGAGTAACAAGAAATGTGTGTCATAAAGCTCATGATTTAGGGAGGATCTGTGAACAAGCAAGGCCACTGGAGAGAGGGAGTGCTTTGAAGGCAATGGGTAGGTGACAGAGGAGGAAGGTCTCCTGGCTTGGTTCAGGGGTCACTGTGTGGCAGATGAGAACAGAAGTATGAAGGTCTGGAGTCCACTAACTGAAGAAGGAGGTGGGTGTGGTGGACAGGGGCAGTTTCAGGAGCTGGTGAAATTATGGAACATGAGTGTGTTTCCAGAGGAGATACCATCGTACGGAAAGGTCATACCAGAGGCCAAATCATGATGAGCTCTGTAGAGAAATAGGTCTTACAGTTTCCCATTTGAGTGCAAAGGGGAACAAGAGCAACAGGATCAGATTTAACCTTTAGAAAGATCATTCTGGCTTTGGTTTGGAGAACAGATTACAAAAGGATAAAAAAAGTCAATGCTATTATTGTAAGTAAGAGATTATTCAAGGTCAAATTTAAGGTAGAGGCAATGGCGATGGAGAGAAGTGACTTCAGGAAGTATTCTAGAAGTAAAATCAATAGGACCTAAATGACACAGTAGACATGGGGAAGTTTAAAAGTGGGACAAAAAAATTTTCCAGCAATGTATCTGGGTGATGGAGGTGTCATTTGCTAAGAAAAGGAAAATGGGTTTGAGCAGGAAGATGAACTCAGCTTTTAAGTATAAATAGAACAAATTTGCATCTCTAAAATACAAAAACAATTTAAAGAGGCTCAGTGAGTCAATTCACTACAGGGAAGCCAGGCTTTGTGTATTAAGAAGTAAAACTTTATCCAAGGACTTTACTCCTTTCCTAGTGAAAAGTTCAAACCACAGCTCTGAGACATCTGTGTACTACAAGGTTATTTCTTCAGATTCACTTATATCTTTACTTAGTCAACTCAATTTCCTTTTAATTAGAAGAAGTATAAATTATGAAAATTAGATAATTGAAAAGTAAATTTAAAAATATGTACCTAGCTCAAGTTTTATCATTTACCAATGAAACTTTGCATTTTTGTTACAAAACACTTTTGTTTTGGCTGTATGTCTTTTCTTAGTTTTTTTTTATTTTTTGTTTGATTTTTTTCATTGTTGTTGTTATTTGTTATTTGGTGTCTCTTTTCCATATAATTTGTGCCTGGTGTTTATCTAGGAAATTGGGTGAATAAATCCTTTCAGGTTTTTCACATTTTTTCCTGCTAGAATGCTATTAACATTGAATTTTCAGGACTAAAGTTGGAGACATGTTTTACATCTTTGATGATCCAGCAACTTAAGGAACATAAGAGGGAGTCTGGGCTCTGGATGTCACATCTCTTGCTGTTGCTTCTCTGTCTTTGGGGAAGCTGCCTTTCCTAAAACCAGACCTGAGATATGCAGCAAGGGGTCTGTCTGTACTCCCACAACCTTCTTTTCATTAGCTGCAGTGCGTCCAGCCTCCCTGTGCAGCTGACAGAAGTGACATGAGTGCACATGGTGGGGTGCCATGGCCGCCTTCCCATCCACTCTTCTCCCTTCAAAGACAAAATGTTACTTATCAGCAATCAGCCTTCCTCTACTTCCTCTTATACCTGCTGCTTTTCAGAGCATGACATGAATACCATGTCAGCTCTACATGCTTTTTTTATGGCTCCATTTGCACTGAATCTATTAGAAATGCCCCCAAAATATCTTCCCTAGTCTCCAAGTTGTTGCAGTTTCCCCTTAGAATTTACATAGTCTTGTTTTTAGTTCAGTTAGTGAAAGAAGGCTAGGGAAACCTTTGTTCAACTTGATATCCTGCCTAGTATTTCATAAATAAATGGCATTGTGTCAATTAAATGATAAAAGAAAGTTCATTTTCACTTTTTCCCACATAAGTGTTGAGAGCAGGGTTGGAAGGTGAGGCAGAGTAGGGAAGGACTCCTGTTGTCAAGATAGGCATTCTGTTAGTGGGTATAGAAAGGAGGGGTGATTTTAAAACAGACATAAGAGGTGAAATGGGCTGCTGGAATAATTGGATACTATGAGTGGTAAGAGAGGAATGAACTTAAGATGGCTTTAATGTCTTAGGTATCAGAGTAGGTTATTACATTATGATCAAGAGATAACCATATATAGGGAGAAAGGCAGGAAGAAGACCAGGTCTGAAAGGGAGTTAGTAGTTTACTTTTAGACTTGTTGAGTTTAAAGTACTTCATGGGTGTTCAAGTGAAGACATTCGGATTGGGAACACAATTTGGCTCTCACCTGGTTTTGCATCTTGGCTAGTTCTTGGAGTTTGCTTAAAATCAGGAATCTCTGCCTTCCAAGAAACTATTCTATGCTATTTCCTTGAAACTAGAATATGTGTGCTACACCCCTCTTCATTTCATAGCTAAAAGACCTTGTAGTACTTAGTTATTAGGACTTTCCTGCAGTGGTCCATTCTGCCATGACAGTTTCTTGGACCTTTTTGGAGAATTGGGCACTGGTTGTAGATCAAAGCAAGCTATGAGCTATACCTCCTGGAAGAAGTAGAAGGTCTGGCAGTCAAATGGAGACTGTTCTGGGTTATATATCTGTTGAAATTCTCCCCAAATATGGAAAATACAGTTAAAATGCAAGCAAGTCTTCTATTATTCATTGCAAAGATAAGGTATTCCATGTGTGTTCTAGGTTTGCAGGCTTCCCTGAAGTTTAATGAGGTGGTCTCCAGTTCCATTCATTGTCCTGCAAATGGCACAATTTCATTATTTGTTATGGTTGAATAACCTCCACTGTATCTATGAGAAACTGTATTCTGTATCCCATTAAAATTTTGGGAAATGATCTGTTTCTAAAACATGAACTACTTATATAACAGAACAAAAAATAAATCTTCTCCACTCAACTTTGGGTACAGATACTACTGTATTTTCCGGTTCTTCATACTGAAAGTTCATATTCATAGCATTCACTCAGCCATTTTACAGTAATTTCATTCTTTTTTTCCCCACTTTAATCACAATGTGTTGTCAACCAGTTATGATCAAAACAGATTAATCCAGCTTGTTCTTTATAAGAGTTGAATGACCAGAGCACATCTTGACAACTAAGTTTCTTACTGTATGAACACAGCCTAATCTCATAGAATTTATTTGAAATAATAAAAATAATTTCTTATTTTTAAAATGTGGTTGGGACTGACCACCCCAAAATGCAGTAGACAATTAAGGCTGGTCTCAGCTAGGCTTGCTCAGTTGTTGGCTGGCTGGGGCTGGCTGACTTACAAAATACAGGATAGTCTGCAAAGTTGTTACTGAAAGTAAAGGAAGAACTTGTGTCCATTTTTAAATTCTACCTCATTTTCAATATCAAATCTTGAAAGGAAACCAACAATTAACACTAAACTGTTTTAACATTGAGATTTCATTTCACCACTGTCAGAATGCCTATCATCAAAAAAGCAACAACAAATGTTGGTAGGGATTGTGGGGGGGTGGAGGTGGGCAAGGGGGCAGAACAACCCCTATACACTGTTGGTAAGAATGTAAATGAGTGCAGATGAGTGCAGGCTCTATGGAAGTAAGAATGGAGGTGTCCCAAAAAACTAAAAATAGAACTGCCATGTGATCTGATCCTATTAAACCACTCTTGGACATACCTGAAGGAAAGTAAGTCAGCATACCCTGGAAATACCTGCACACCAATGTTTGTTGTGGCACTATTCACAATAGCCAAGTTATGGAATCATTTAGGTACCCATCAACAGATAAATGGCTAGAGAAAATGTGCAAGATAGATAGATAGAGACCTGTACACATATATATGGATTATTATTCAGCCATAATAAAAAAGGAAATTATGTCATTTGCAGGAAAATGAGTGGAATTGGAGAGCTTCATGTTAAGTGAAATAAGCCAGATTCAGAAAGACAAATACTGCATGTTTTCTTTCATATGCAGAATCTAGATCTAAAAAATGAAGGTCATGAACATAAAAAGGAACTATTGGGATGGCGGAAGCACCAGTGGTGGGGATGGGGGGAAAGAGAGGGTAAGGGGCAGAATATGATCAAAGGACATTATGTGCACATATTAAAAAAGACCATAATGAAACCCATTTAAAATTTGTAAGAAAGTTAAAAGGGAGGAGGTATAAGAAAGAGTAATAGAGTAGGTAAACAGATCAAAGTACATTATATGTATACATGGAATTATCACAGTAAAGCCCTCACTTTGTATAATTAATATATGCAATAAAATAATTTTATAAAAACATTAAATTTTTATAATTTTATAGCTAGATAAGACGTGTTTCCAAGTTGCTCATGGCTTTTTTAAATATATCTCAGACATCTTACAAACAGAAAAAGTTCATATTTGTTTTCAGTTGAACTTTAGTTTACATTTTCAAATAATTCCCAGGTGTCAGCATTTACCATAGATAGTGTTATTGTTATCTATGTCTTAGTTCTACTAAATGTACAATATTTATCCTGTAATTTGTAGAGATCATTTGAGACAGTGTCAATAATTATCCAGATTTTCTTCCTAAATCATTGGAGTGTAAATGGAACAATCTAATAGTCTCCATTGAGAACCATAATTACCTCCTCTTTCCACATGATGTCTCTGTTTAGACAGAGTGCAAGCTTTGTGGGTTCTGGGAGACCATCTTACCTCTAAGTCTCTCATTGTTACCTTCCAAGAAACAGGCCTGCAAAACTGAGCTACTTTCCAGAAGCCACACCACTTAGTGGTACAACTGGAGGTGCAGCACCCAGCAACTCTATTTCCCAGTTGATGCTTTTTCCACTCTTCGTTTACCCCCTTCCATTCTCCTATAACAGCTAAGAATATATCAAGTTTTCTGTTTCAGGTTGTGACTTCTCAGATTTTCTACGACAAGCATCAGGTCATTTCTAATTTAGCTGGTCTCCGGTCTTCACATTCTATCAGATTTTAGCTTTCCTCATAGCTGTATTGAGATGTATCACTGGGCCCTGACCAGATCTGTTGTCTGTTCCTGGACAATGTCTGCATTTTCTTTACAAGTAGTAGTTATGTTAGAATGCATATTCCACATTAAGTAAAACATGCTTATAAATTAAGAATTATAGCACTTATTTTTGAAGACTTGAGAAGAAACATCTATTTTTTATCAGATTTTAAAAGAACTAATAACTTATTTAAAGTAATTATGAGTTTCAAGACCATAATGCTTCTAGATACCAAATTATATAGCCTCTGTCAGGAATTTCCTTTCAGATAACTTTTTTTTTGTCATGCTCAAATTTAAATCAAATAGCTAAACTTTACTTAGATGAATATTATTCCTTTTATACATTACTTGTACGTAGGCTTCTTCACCAACTGGGAAATCTGTACTGGGCTTTGACAAATTGTTGGCCTTGTGCTGGTGTTGACAGGAGGCCTACCGGGAGGAGCAGCTGACTCACAGGCTGATGCGCCAGTCCCAGCAAGAGCGCAGGATTGCCGTGCAGCTCATGCATGTTCGGCATGAAAAGGAAGTTTTGTGGCAAAACAGAATTTTCAGAGAAAAACAGTATGAGGAAAGACGACTTAAAGATTTCCAGGATGCTCTTGATCGAGAAGCGGTAAACAAAATCTCCCTTAAAAGTCTTCCTGAGGTTCCTTTTAAGCCTTTCTATTGAGTCATGGCAAACAAAGCTGTGTTTTGTTGTTAATTGCCTAACAAAAGTTAACTTATTTTATCTGCCCGTTTTTATTTTTATGTAACTGCACTGATAGGGTCACTGCATGCCACACTTTCTCCTTTCAGACTTGAGTGTTCTGCTAGTGAATAAGCATTTAATGCTCACTGCCAATTCTTATGTGTAAGTGTGTCTGGTCATTTTCATCACTTGAAGCGCCTTCTCCAGATGATTCCTCAGGAAAGGCTCATCGCAATAATATTCCCTGAGTTCTTCTATTTGGGTAAAATGTGTGACTTCCACACTTGATTATCAGTTTTGCTATCTATAAAATACATGGTTTGCCTTTTCTTTCCTTGAGTATCTGAAATACCCCACTCCATTTTCTTCCTGTATGAAGGATTACTGTCAAAAAGACTGACGTTATTATCTAATCTTTTCCTACATTCCTTTTCAGTTCTTCGAGTTACTATTTTTTTTACCATAATGCCTCAAATCTTTCTATTCCTCTAACATCTACCAGTGTTACTAGTGTGCAACATTGGTGTGGTGATTTTAAGTGAATAATCTCAGGTAGTGAAAGGTTTTAAGCTGCTTCCTTTCAACAAGACACCATTAGTTTTTAATATACGATTCCTTACCTTCTAATAAAACAAGATTTCACCTGCTGTACTGCTCCTTCCTCGGGGCTAGAATGAACCATTTATCCGGGCATCTTGGTACTCTGGTGCATTGTCATTGAGAATGGTGCCCAGAAGACAAGATCTGGAACCTGTTATGCCCTTTGCTACTATGGCATCATTGTGTCTAGGCCTTTTTATAACTCAAAAGTCAAAATATCCAGTCTGTTAATTATCTAATATACTATGTTCATCCTGAAATATATATATATATATATACACATATATATACATATATATACACATAATTTGTAATGCCTATATAGAGAGTAATCAAAATAGATTTATTTAGTAATGGAATATGTAGATCAGATGGATCAGTTCTTGCCAGTTCCCATTGGAGAAGTTCCAGATTTATTTAATTAATGCAGATTTGATTGAAGAGAACTAGAACTTATGTGATGGCATTTTAGATAGCTTGTATCTACTTCATAAACATTCATAAAATGAGGCTGTACCAAACAGAAAGAAAACAGGAAAACAGTGCTTTACTTATCAACTTCCTAGCTTCCACTGTGACTCTCCATGAAAATGTAACGCAGCATAGCATGGGCAAAAATCATGTAATTCTTAGAAATATCATTTGGAAACTACCATATTCTTATATCAGAAAAGGAAACAATGTTTTGTGTTTTGTAGAGCAAGCATATCCTAAGCAGGGGGATGGAAGCCCTGCCCCATGAGTTTGAGGTATGTGAATGTTGACCTTTCATGTTTTCTCTGACTCCAAAATCTAAATTATCTGGAAAGTTTTTTCCTCCATCTCGTTGGTGGGAGTAGAATAGATTGAGTAACATTAACTTCAATAACAAATGATGTGCTCAGCTCTCTAACTGCCTACTTGAAGAATATGTTTCCTTCGCAAGCCCAGTTAATTAAGCACAAATAGCAAAGCTTTTTTAACTGGACCAATTTCTCTCTGATGAGAAGCATATAGCTGTTTTTTTTTCATTCCCTTTGAGACATGGTCTTGCTATGTTGCTCAAGATGACTGTGAAACTGTAGGCTCCTGTTTCAGCCTCTTGAGTAGCTTGAACTACAACATGCCACCATGCCCAGTTCAATGTTCTTTCTTTAACTGGCCTTGAACTGACGTCAGAGAATTGGAACACACAGTTCTGCTAAGAGCTCAGAGTACTAACATGGGAGGATCTGGGAGATCCTTGCAAAAGGACATTCCTTCTCCTCATGATTGCCTTTTCCTACAGCTGAGGTTCCTTCTTCCCTGGCTTTCTCCCTAAGAGACGGCTGGATTTCACAGTTTTCATCCACACATGTTAGATTTACCAACTTCTTCAACAACAGAGGCAGGTACATAAGGAAGAACCCATTAAATGTGTTAAATTCAGCTTGTCAGCTACACACGGATAGCTTTTCTTTTCAATGCCATTTACTAGCTAAACAAAATACATTTTATTCCCTAAAGCCTCATCATTCTACCACTTCCTTTTTATGAGGAAGGGAGAAGTTTTAAATTGTTGTTTTTCTTTAGTTTTTATTATTTTTTCTTGTAGCTTTTATTATTTTTGTAAGTGGCAGGAGGGAGAATTCCAGAAGAGACTTTAAATATACTATTGTAATGTTTATATTAACAGGGTTGATTTTCATGATCACTTTCTCTTGAGTTCTGCTGTGGACAGCACTTTACTAGTTCACCTCCTTTTGCAGGCTCCTTCTCCTCTGATACCAAAACACTTATTGTGAGTTCTCCTTAGAGTTTAGTCCTAGGGTTCATTCTTTCCTTGTGTATCTTATTTCCTCAGACAATCTCATTTGCAACCATGTGAGTATCATTACTACAAGAGATGGATGACTTATGCATTTAGGTCTCTGCCAGCTGATGTGGAGATCAATCCATAGCTTCAACTGTTTCCTTGACATCTCTAGTCATAACCTCAGGGACACTTCAAACTCAGCCTGTTCAAGGTCAAATTTATCATCTTTCCCACTGGCCTGCCCATTTTCAAGGTTCATATCTCAACAAATTAGCCCAATTCTATAATTCCAAAGCCTTGTGGTCCTCTCAAACCTACATCAACCTCATTTCTCTATATTAAGTCCTATCAGCTTCAAGTACTAACTTGTTCTTCAGTTTGTCACTTTTTCTACATTTCTGCATCACCCACCCCTAGTTTCTAATACTGCTTCTGTTTCAGCTACTGCTGCAGCTTCAGTGATTTCTTTCATCTATTTTTTTCTTGTGTCAGTACTGGGGCTTGAACTCAGGGCTTTCTGCTTATTAGGCAGATACTCTACCACTTGAGCCACACGTATAACCCTTTTTACTTTGGTTGTTTTGGAGATAGGCTCTCAGGCCAGCCTGGTCCACAAGCCTCCTATATTTTGTTTCCCACAATAGCTGAGATAACAGGTGTGTGCCACCATGCCTAGTTTTTTTTTCTTCCCATTGAGATGGAGTCTCACAAACTTTTTCCCCTTGGCTAGCCTAGAACCATAATCCTCTCAATCCCAGACTTTTGTGCATTTTGGGATGACAGGAACACACCACTGTGTCCACCTATTGGTTGAGATGGGGGTCTTGTGAACATTTCCCTTGGGTTGCCCTTGAACTGTAATCTTCCCCATCTTAGCTTCCCAAGTAGCTGGAAGTATAGGAGGGAGCCAGCTCTCTCCACCTATTTTTGATGTATTTGAATTGCCAACTACAAACTGCAGTATGCAAGAACATAACAATATTTATATTCATTAAGTCAATCTCAGTTGGACCCCAACAACTCACCTCAGAGATGTAGGATGCCCCAGGTTGCTAGGGCCAAGTCATCAGAGAAACACTGTACTCATCAGGCACAAGACCAGTGTTAGCACTGGGAGCCCAGCTATCTTGTGAAGACTGTTCCAGACTTTGTGGGCTCCCCATATTGTCCCCTCTGAGATTGTGCTGCTTCTTAAGAGGTTATAGGGAAAAGGGGTGCATGTCTCTTCCTCTCTCTGTTTTTCCTCAAATGTTTCTACTCTCTTTTTGGGAATCTACATTACTTTTGCCTTCAAATTTGGTGTTTTACAAACATTAAGAGGGTCCTTCAAAAGTTTCTGCTTTTGGTCCTGCTGAAATTCTCTAAAATGGGAGTTAAAAAGACATGCTTGAAATGAATTGGGACAAGTAGAGATAACATACAAGTCACCTGTCCACCAATCCATTCTCCATTCTGTAGCCAGGGGCATCCTTTTGACTCAGATCTGGCCACTGCTGCCATGTTCAGAATCTCATCCTTGTCTGCCCATCAACCACATCCCTGCTTATGACCACCTCCTCTTTGCCACCCAGAATCTGGCCACATCTGTAATCTCTTAGCAATACAAGAAAGTCATTTCTTTCACCTTTCCCCTTATACCATGTCCTCTGTCAGTCGATGCTCATCTTCAGAGCGCTGTACAAACATCACTCATGTCTAGGCCAGGACTCTGTTGTGTACACTCATCTCCACAGTCTAGCTCTAGTGACACTCATCTCCATGTGTAACTAGACATTTATTCCTGCAGGTTTTTTGTTTGTTTGTTTGTTTGTTTGCATATCCCACTGTCACAGAAGCTAAGGAAAACAGAACCTTCCCTAGGGTCCTGCTGCTTCCCACTATTGTTTCTCCAAAGCTTAGCCCAATATCTGCCACAGTTTAATAAGGATTTTTTTTTTTTTTTTGGCATAGAGTCGCTTGGACCAACTGCAATTCTTCTACTTACACCTCCCACATAGCTGAAATTACAGGCATGAAGAACTATGCCTGGTTTTTTTGTCTGTTGCAATGGGGGTCTGGCTAACTTTTTTTGTCTGGAATGGCCTTCCTATCTCTGCCTCCTGAGTAACTGGGACTACAGGCATGCACCATGCTCCATGTCACATTTTTGAACATTTGCTTTAAGTATTGCACTATGCCTACTGCATGCATATAAGATTCTTGTAATAGTCACAGGTGGACACTATTTTACACATAAGGACGATAAAGCTTAGAAGTCTGAAAGTCACACAGCTTGTCAGAGGTGTAGCAAAGCCCACTCTATCAACCTCTAAGTCTAAGCTCATAACCACCAAGATTTACTACCTCCCACAGACTTCCTTTTTCCTTTCCTTCTTTCTCTTTTTAGGGCTGCAGCCTGTTTGCTGTAATGAGACAGGAAGTTGTGTGGGCTGAGCAGAGAGTTAATGGTAGAGGTAGAAAAGAATGAGAAGGAGGATCATATAGCTAGATGGAAAGAAGGCAGGGAAGGAGGAAGAAAGGAAGGGAGGAAAACATGGAAGAAGGAAAAGAGGGAGGAGTGAGATAAGCAATACTAGCAACCAAAATTGGAAGCTGTTCTGTTGCTGATCAAGAAATTCCATTGTTTCCCTCCAGGCTTTGGTTCCATCATGTCCTAAATCTTTCTTCATGTTTCACAGACACTGTGGTAAATCAGTCTCATGATCTATTTTGCTGTTACTCTCTCCATAATATCTCATCTAATATTACTGGTCTCTTAGAGTCCTTCGTCATCTGAACCTTTCATATTTCATGAAATATGTCATAAAGCTTTGCACCAAAATTGTATTCTTTTTCCATGAAAACAGAGTTGATGAAATAATATAAGAATGACAAATTGTGGTGTAATTCCTAAATCTGCTACATGTACTAAATTGATGTAGGGGTCATCCATCCCAACCAGTTGCCCAACAAACAAAATAAGCACAGAAAATAAAACACGGAGGCAAAATAAATGATGGACCTTACACAGCCATCCGCTGCCATGCACCTAGCCATTCATGAGTAGTGTCATGATATGTATTGGCTCTGATGAGATAGTTGGGTTAATTTTTGTGGATATGCTAAGCATGACTAATATCCCTGTTTTGAGGAAACAGAGCTTTAAGGAAACTAAAGATCTTGCCCAAGTTCTCACAGCTAGAACTTGAATTCTGTACACAGTTGGGGCTCGAATTCAACCATACCCCTCCAAAGCCCAATTTTACTTCCACTTTCCACTGGCTGAGTTAAGTTACATGAGCCAATTCCTTTTTCAGGGTCAGGCTAGTACATGATGAACTTTCTCAAGAAGCTGCTATCATAGCTTTCTGAAAAGCCTCATTTGATCATTTGAATTCCAACAATAGATTATTGTGTTATTTTCAGCTTGGTAAGGCTGAGTTGACCTTTGTATTTTATGTGAGGAAAGAACCCCCCCACCCAAGAAAAATAATAATACAAACCAAGTAAAAGGTGATGATAAAATGGTTAAACATGACATTACTTTCTGCAGAAAAAGATGTTTCTACAAATCAGAGTTATCAATTTATTAAGACCATAATAGAAGAAAGGTTTAACACACTTAACATTTATTTTCAAATATGTGATGATCTCAAACCACTATAATTGGGGAACTTCCAAATTATTTCTTGAATATAAATCAATATCATAGAACCCCACCACTGAAAAACAAAGGACAGTAGTCAGGGTCCCTGGGTGATTGTGAGGAGCTAGCTATGCTTGCCATCTGGCACAGACTTGTCCATTTTTATATCATCCCTGACTTTTTACAACCCATGAAATCAGGACGTTCTCATGAAAGCCTTGAGATCCAACTTATTTTTAACCATCTTGGTCTACCCCTGGAATGACCACTTTTCACTGTACTGTGTTGTTGATAGCTAAAGGTAGATTATTTCTAGCATTGGCTGCCATCCTACTCAGTACTTAATGTATTAAGGAGAAAGTGCTCGCTCATGATTAATTGTTCCTGAAATAAAAGGAGATTTCTTTATATTTTTTAAATTTTGGGCTATGATGACATTTTTATTTGAATCCTAGGGAAGTGATAGTAACTTAAAATATGTTTTTGCCTTCTTAGGCTCTGGCAAAACAAGCCAAGATTGATTTTGAAGAACAAATCCTCAGAGAGAAGGAAATTCATGAAAAGATTGCTGTGGAAAGGGCTCAAGTGCGTTATAAAAAGCATTATGATATGTGTGGAGAAATTTTGGATCAAATACTTGATTTGTCCACTAAAGTGGCAGACTATCGAATGTTGACAAATAAGTAAGTGCATCTTTCTGTAATTTATTCAGTAGAGACACTACACACAATGAGAAGTAAGGTTGTAATGTAGAGATGTGGCTGATAAGTAATGAGAGACAAAAATGTTTCATGAAAAGAAAACTGAAAAGGATACTGAGAGAGATCTTGATTACTGACTTAATTTACCTGCCAACCAGCCTTATTTGAGGTATATGCATTGTTTTCCATTTAAAAATTGTATCTAAATTGTCTTTAATTTATTAGGGCAACTATAATAATTTATTTGAAACACTTGGAACTTGCTAGAAGTGTGGAATTATTTAAATATCATTTTGCTAATTTTTATTTATTTCCATCACAACTTGTATTTAGAAGGAATCAACACATTTGTAAGGAAATATTCCAAATATTAAAAAATGAGCAAGTCAACATAGTAACAAAGGAAAATCCTAATAAAATAGAAAGTTAAGAATAGGGAATAAATTGAAATACAATTATATTATATACAACTTGCAATGAAAGCAATGAAATCCAGATGGCCCACAGGGTCAGAAAACAGGAGAGAAGAGGGAAAGCATCCCATCACCCTGACGTGAGAAGTTTTCTCCACTTGTCTCACTCCTATAGCCATGTGTCTAGCCCAGTGCCATATAAAAAACTGCCAAAAGAAATAATTTGATGATGAAGACATATCAAAAAAAGCTAGGAAGACATGAGACTGAGAAAAAGATTAAGAATACAGACAAGTGAAAAGAATTCAAAAGTGATGTTTAATACAAATTTAAAACCTGAGAAATTTTAAAATCAAAATGACTCAGGCACAGTGGTGAATTTCCTGAGTTTTCTTTTTGCCTCATATATCTTATGTTAGGTCTAAATTTTCTGGCAACAAATATATCAGTGGAACAGACTATGCAGTAAAGGAGCGGGCTAACAAGATGAATACCTTCTAGATGAATACTTTGTTACATCCAAATTCTACAAAAAGGTGGCCCCCTTCCACTTATGCCAGAAAAGGTCAGTTAGAAAGCTTCACCTCCCAGCCTCATAAGCTGTAACAAGGAACCCCAATGTACCTTCCAGGATGATGTCAGAGAAGGTTAAGAAGGAAGCACTGACTCCCACCCCTTACCTGAGAGTGATAGGAACCCCTCTTCCCACTGGTCAGAAGAGATCTAAAGGACAGTGAGAACTTTTGCCTCCCCCAGTGATAACAAGGCCACTTCCACCAGTGTTACCGGAGACCATGTAGAGACAAAATTCCCACCTCCCAGCAGTGACAAGAGTCTCCTGCCTCTGGGTGTCAAGGGAGGATTTGGGGACTTTCCTTCACACTTGTCAGTAACAAGATGGTCCCTCCAATTTCCTTTGTCAGGAAAAATAAAGCAGCTAAACCTCAAGGTTTATATAAGACCCAAAGTCTTGTAATGTATTACAAAAAAATGTCTAAATTCAATAAAAAGTCACCTGTCATGACAAGAACCAGAACTCAAACTGAATGTAAAGGACAATGCATGTATGGTTCCTGATATGGGTCAAACTATATCCTCCTTCAAAAGATATGGTGAAGTCCTAATCCCAGTACCTCAGAGTGGGACCTATTTGGAAACAGAGTCATGGCAGATATAATTAGTTAAGATGAGATTTTACTTGTTAATTCAATTCAGTATGACTGGTGTCTTTATAAGAGATACACAGAGAGGAGACACTCTCTATTACAGCAAAGACAAAGAGTTGCCAGCATACCACCAAAAGCTAGGAAAGGCAAGGAAGGACTTATCTATAACTCTCAAGGGAATCTGACCTTGCCAATCTCTTGATTTCAGACTTCCAGCCTTTGGAAACATGTGAGACAATTTCTGCTGTTTTGTGCCATTAATGGTACATTTTTACAGTAGCCCTCAGAAATGAATGTGCTGTGTGATGACAGAGATCTTAGAATTATCTGATAAAAATTTTAAGGTAACCATGGCAAAATGTTTCAATTATAAGCATGCTTGAAACAAACAAAAAACATGATTTTATCAAAAATTTAGTAATAGCAAAGAACTGTAATACAAAGAGGAATCAAATGGAAATTTTGTAACTAAAAAAATGATAATCAAACTAAAGAGCTCAGTGGGCTCAACAACAGAATGTGGGGAACAGAGGAAAGAATCTGTGAACTAGAAAACAGAGCAATAGGAACTGCTCAATCTGAATAAAAGTAAGAACAAAGACTGAAAAAAAATTAATAGAGCCTTAGGGACTAGCCACCCATGTTGATATTGTGTTACTTATCTTCCCATCACTGTAACAACAATTTGGGATAAGCCATTTTATAAAGATGAAAACTTAATTTTGGCTCACAGTTTCAGAGGTCCATGTCCATGGTTGCTTGGCCCTGTGACTTTGGCCCTGTGTCAAGGCAACACACCATGGTGGAAGAATGTGGCAGAAAAGACCTTGTCTTTGAGGTCCCAATATTTAAAGTCATGTCCCCAGGAACCTAACTTTTTCTCAATAGTTGTCACTTCTGAAAGGTTCCTCCATGTCCCAATCGCACCACAGGCTGGTGACCAACCTTTAACAAGGGGACTTGGGTATCATTCAAGATCCATACTACAGCCCATGTCACCACTGTCCTAGAGGTATAGAAAAAAGAAGGTGGTGCTGAAAAGTGTTCAAAGAAAGAATGGCTAAAATTTCTCTGAACTTGGTAAGTGACATAAATCTACAGTGTTATAAATTCAAAAAGCTGTGCAAACTCCCAAGTATGGTAAACCTAAAGAAATCCATATAATATACAACATAATTAAGTTTCTGAAAATTGTAAAACAAAACATCACGAAAGCACCCTGAGGAACACAATAGCTTACCTTTAAGGGCAAAGTAATTACAATGCCAGAAACCCTAGAGACCAAAACGAAGTGCCACTGTCCTTTTCAAGTGCTGAAGAAAAAGAACTCTCAACCCAGAGTCCTGGAAATACTCAGTAAAAATACACTTTATGATTTAAGAGGAATTTTGTTTGTTGCCAGCACACTCACCCTTAAATGAGTGACTAAAGGATGTTTTCTAAACAGAAAGAAAATCATTTTTAAAAGCAGGAACCTTAGAATTTCAGAAGAAAGACTTGGTAAATCCAAATATGAGTAAATACAATAGGATTTCCTTTATCCCTTGAAAAGGCAGTTTAGCAGCTGCAATAAAAATTATAATACTGTCTGATACAGTTCTAAATGCATGAAGAGTAAATATTTAAGAATTATATTGTGAGTGGATGAAGATAAAGACTTACAGGGAGGTCAGGCTTCTATAATTGACTGATAAGATAATGATACTGATAGATGTGATAATGCCTCACACAATCACTTAACAACTAATGCAAAGAGATACTGTCAAAATACTATAGGTAGGTCAGAATAGAATTCTAAAAATTAGTCATTGAGCTAATAGAAAGCCAGGAAAAGGAATCAGAAAACAAAACCAATTAAAATATGGATATTGGAAAAATAGACATAAAAACATGACCAACTATGTGCTATCTACAAAAAACCCATAGCAAATTTTATTATATGGGCAGGTAGAGGGTAAAAAAATGGAAAAAATCATCCCATGCAAACATTAATCAAAAGTAAGGAGGCATTATTATATTAGCATCAAATAAAGTAATCCTCAGAGCAAAAAAATATATATCACAAAGACAGAGAGGGACATTAGGTGATATAAAAGGGTCAATGCACCAAGAATACATAACAATCTTGATTGTGCATTTGCCAAACAACAGAACTGTAAACTACATGAAGCAAAAACTGATACAACTGAATATAAGTAGAGATACCCACAATCATTGCTGGAGACTTCAACAATTGATAGACTACTAGACACACCAGTAAGGATACAGAAGAAATGAATACCACCAGTCAATCAGGTCTAATCAATATTATAATACATTTCACCCAACAGCATAAAAAATATCCATTCTTTTCAAGTCCCACAGAACCTATTACAAGGTAGACCATATATATCCTAAGCCATAGGGGAAAAAAACCCCAACATATTTACAAGAACTCATATCACACAGAATTGTGTTCTTTGACCACAGTGGAATCAAAACAGAAATCAATAACAAGATAGGAAGGAAAATCCCAAACATGAGGAAACTCAGCAACACACTTCTAAATAATCCTTGGACCAAAGAGGAAGTCTCAAGAGAAATTAAAAGTGCATTTGAATGAATGAAAATAACAAAACAATATATCAAAACTTGTGGGACGCAGCAGAAACCATGCTGGCAGAAATTTGTAACTTTAAATGTTAGAAGAAGGAACGGTTCAAATCAGTAATCTAAGCTCTCACCTCAAGAATCTAGAAGAAGAGAAAAAGAAATCCAAAGCAAGAAGAAAGTAATTAAATAATAAAAACAGAAATAAATTGAAAATAAACAGGTAAACAAAAACAGTAGAAAGGGTCAGCAGTGTGGAAGTGATACAGTGCTTGCCTAGCAAGCTCAGGGCTCTGAGTTCAAACTTAATGCTGCCAAAACAAAATCAAATATATTAAACAATAGAGAACCTGACAGAAACAAAGAACTAACTCTTTTAAAAGTTTTGTACATTGGCAAATCTCTAGCAAGACAAATGAAGAAATTAAAAGAGATGACATGAATTATTAATATCAGGAATAAAGCAGAAGATACCACATTAGATCCTTTAGGCACTAAAAGGATAAGGAGATATTATGAATAACTGAGCACATATAAATGTGTCATCTTTGAAGAAATGATACAATTCCTCAAATCACAAACTGCCCAGGTGGGTTCACTAGAGAATTCTAAACATTTAAAGACACCAATTCTATTCAATATCATCCAGAAAACAAAGGAAGGAATACTCCCTCAATTCCTTTTATGAAACAGCCTACCCCTGACAGCAAAGCCAAACAAAAAACAGAAGCAAGAAGAAAACCAGAGACTTGTATTATTATTTATGACTATAGATGTAAAATCATTAATGAAAAATTAGCAAATAGAGTTCAACAAAATGTTACTCCACATAATAAATTCTCTCCAATTTGTTACAGTTGTTTAATCATTCCTTTCAAAAGCAAGAGTTTTTTGTAGATATAAACAAGACTATTCTATCATTGACATGAAAAGCAAAGTAACTACTCTGGCTAAAACAATTGTGAAAAGAAGAATATATTGGGAGGAATTTGTCTGCCTAACCTTATGATTTATTATGTAAGTACAGTCATGAAGTATGTGGTGTTGGAAGGAGGATAGACAGACACCTAGATCAGCAGACTAGATAGAGAATCTGAAGTAGATTCCCATAAAAATAACTTTAAATGTTATCACCTGATTTTTGACAAAGGTTAAAAAAAGCAATTTGATTAGATATGCATAGGTAAAAATCAAACAAATTTAAGTAAATCTTGATCTACTCACATATCATATAAAAACTAACTTAAAATGGATACGAGGCCTAAATGTAAAGCATAAAACTAGAGTTTTTTCTAACTAGCAGAAAATTTGGTGTTTTTATAACTGTTGGGCAAAGAGTTCTTAGACTTGACACCAAAAACATGATCCATAAAAGGAAAATTTGGCAAATTGAGCTTCATTAAAATTAAAAACTTTTGCTCTGCAGAAAATAAAAGTTGATAAATCTAACTGCTAAGATATTTTAACCTTTTGCTTTGCAAAAGATAGAAAGTCATACAGACTAGGAGAAAAGATTTAGAAACCACAGAGCCACCAGAGGAGTATTATCTAGAATACATATTCTCAAAATTTAACAGCAAATAAAATAAGCAATCCAATTAGAAAATGGGCCAAAATATGAAAAGATATTTCACTGAAAGGGAAATACAACTGGCAAATATACACATGAAAAGAAAATCAGTGTTCTTATCCGCTGGAGAAACTCAAATAGAAACCACGGTGAGATTATCACTTCACGCCTATAAGATTGTCCACACAGAGGAATATTAACACCAAATGCTGACAAGTATGGAGAGAAAATTTACTCATTCATTGCTGCTGAGAATATAAACTCATCCAGTACCTCTAGAAAACACTGGCAATTTCTCAAAAAGTTAATGTGCAACTTCCATATGACACATGTGGGCATTTTATGTTCACAGAAAAGCTGTATCTGGATGGTTTATGGAAGTGTTATTGTAATGATAACTGTCCATCCAGGTGTTCTTCAACAGATGATAGTTGAACTGTGGCACATCCATACCAGGTAATATTAATGAGCAATAAATAGAATAAACTATTGATGCATGCCACAATCTGAATGAATCACAATATAATTAGGGTGTGGGGGGGCAGCCCTAAAAGTTTACATAGGTGTTAAGTTTCCATTTATGTAACATTCTTTTATTTGAGACAAGGTATTGCTATGTACCTCAGACTGACATGCAACTCAAGATCCTCCTGCCTCAGCCTCCCAAATGCACCACCACACCAAGATAGAAGTGACACAACTATAGAAGCTATGAACCAAAAAGCAATTGCCAGGGACTAAGGAAGGGGGTTAAGGAAAGAATGAAGTGCCTATGGCTATAAAAGGGCAGCATGAAGGATTCTGTGATGATGGAAATAGTCTTTATTGTAAGTGTGTCAATTCAAATCCTGATTGCCATACCAAACTCTAGTTTTAAAAAATATTATGATTAGAGGACATTGGGTAAAGGATATATGTCTGTGTGTTATTTTGTACAAGTTCGTGTATATCTACAATTACCAAAAATGTTTAATTTTAAAAATCAAAGTTTTAAAATAACAATAGAATAACACACAAGGATCATAAGTGATTCAGAGACTACTTGTTTCAGGCCCAGCATTTAAAGTCAAAAGCTCATTCTGAAGTGGAAAGACATTAATACTACTGTTAAAGAGCCCTTTGTTCAATTGAATGGCATTTATTCCTTACTTTATTTTGAATTAACGATTGCTTCACCAGGCCAGGCTGATCTGAAGTGAGCTAATGGAATCTGGATCATTGGAAAAGATGGAACAGCTAGCCAAATATGTGCATGAATCTTAGAAATTTCAGCTAACAATAAAGGACAGTATTCAGGCCCCAGAAACTATTGCAGGTGGTTTTCTTACTCAGGACTCTCAGCAGATCAGAAAGGGAACAGTGAACACAGAAAGTTGAGGAAAAGAAGTCTCGGAAAGAAGAAGGAAGCCAATATTCTCTAAGATAGAGAAGCTGTTTTAGAAGTATCCCTGCTTTTGTCATTTTATCTGTTTTTATTCTCACATCCTTACATATGAGAAGAATTTTACAGTAAAGTTCAAATAGTTATTTTTTTATTCTTCTAATTTTTTTCAAAACATCTGAACTTTAATGGATTGCAGTCACAAAGCCAGAGACCACTACAGATTTCATAGTAGAATTACTATTGAAATAGAATATTAAACGGTGATAAAGAGGAACACAGGTAATTTTAGTTGTAAAGCCCTGATAAATGATGGAGAAAGAAAGAAGGGAAATGAGTCTCCTGGCTATAAGAGCAGATAGTGCTTAGAGCCTGACATACAGCCCTTTAGACAGGCAAGTTCATTAGGTCTGTACCATTAAGTAATCACTCCCCATATTCTCTCCTCCCAGTGCCTAAGGGTATCTATTGTCCATGATTTTGTCTTTTCTAGGTGCCTCATTTAAAGTGGGATTTTACAACATTTGTCCTTTTATGTCTGGGTTATTCATTTAGCATAATCTCTTCAAGGTCCATACATGTAGCCTGTTTCAGGATGAAATACTACTTAAGTTGTAATTTCAAGTTGTATATGAACTGTTTCTGAAGACATTTGTCTAAATCACATCAGGTTCTTTCTCTCACATGTTTTGTTCTTGGAATTGTTTTCTGTCACTGTGCTGGCTGCCTCCTAGGCATTCTTTAGGGCTCAGTTTAGCAATCGTTTCTTCAAAGATACTTTCCTTGAGCAAGTCAAATCATACTCATATTTTCCCATTGCATAATTCTCATTCAAAAAACATATTTATTTATGCATATTTTTCCATTATCCCCAGAGGGTGCAGTCTGAGACTAACCATTCAAGTTGGTATTACATCCCTAATAGCTGGTGAAATGCCTGGAATTTATAGGCTTGAATGAATGAATGTTACTTCCTTCACACCACCAGTTCTTCAAACTTCCTTATTGATGGTCCTGTAGTAGGACAATATATCTAAAACTAATGAGCATGATCAGAAAACTTGGGTTTTTAATTCAAGCTTTGAGAGCAAATTACCTTAGAACACAATTTAAATGCTCTAAAGAGTCCTCTAAGATAACAGTTGGTTTACATATTTGTATATAATTATAAAAGAAAAACCTTGTGCATGTTTGTTTATTGTCTTTGTACATACAGTAACCTTTAAAACTCTTTCTAAATAATCATTTCTGTTTGTCTGATGAAAGCAAGTCAATTACATAAATGCAATAAAAAGACCAAGTCTTGAGGTGTATATTTGACTAACCATTGATTCATCTCTTCCTTATTTTTTGTAACAGCATGATTCCATACAAGTTGATGAATGATTGGAAGGAACTGTTTTTTCATGGAAAACCCATATATGAACAAGCCACTAGCAAACATGAAATTGCTAAGTCTTCTGCAGAACAACTTGTAGAACTGGAGAAAAGGGATTTGCTAGATAAAAATGATTATGAAGAATATAAGGTATATACTGATATGGAATAATTAAAGAGAAAATGCTATAATAAATTTTCCTTAACATTAATTTGTTTTATTTAACTCTTATTAATAATAATAGAGTCTTATGTTTACATTGTCTCTTATATTAATGTATTTTATAGCACTATTTTTTAGATGTGTTAAGTATTCATAATCTGTTATCTGGTTTTCCCAGTAATAATAGAACACAGTCTGAAAATTATTAAACAAAATACCTTGGGCAGATATCAGAATTTTTTAAATGCCTTATTAGCATTTTTCTTTGTATGTGCTGTCCACCTTTCTTCAAAAACTGCTAAATGAGGTTTTTGGTAGTCTACCTCAATAGTGTATTGTTTTTGTGGGCGAAATGGAGGAGAAGAAGGTTAAGGTTTTATGAGTAGCATAAATTTACACAATATTTTATTCAAAGACTGAAAAGTATTGGACATCAACTGTGCTTTTCATATGTCTCTTCATTCAAAATTTTTTATTTTAATAATTGTACATATTTATGGGGTGCAGTATGATAATTTGATGCACTATATAACACACGTGGTAACTATAGTTTAAAATAATTTACCGTGTATTTTGTAAAAAACTAAAGAGAGGAGTTTGGGGAGTTCCAGCACAAAGAAATGATGAAAGTCTAAGGAGATGTAAATGCCAGGTGTACTTTTGGGAAAACTGTCAAGTAGGCTTTGGGATTAGACCAGAGCTCCATTGTTGGCACTGCCAATACTAACTGTACACCGTAGGTGACTAATCCCTTGGATTACTAAGTGATTCAGTTTCCACATTCATGACATGAGAATAATAAAATACATATCTATTTTTGTTGTTACAAAAGGAATGCCTATTATTATCAACACTCAGCCGTCCCTATCCCACTCCACCTCACCCTTAGAAGTAAAAATGCAAACATTACAGCCCTTGGATATAAGTTATGAGTAGGTCAAAAGGCACATAATGAAAAATAAGGCACGTGTTTAGAAATACCACTGAATAAGTTCCACAAGGGTAACAAATGCAATAAGGAAAAGCAGTGAAAAATAATTCCAATCAGTTACTGATAATTAGCATATACTCAATAAATGTTGTTGTAATAATGAATGAATACAATGAATTAATGGCAGTATATAGGGAAAAGTATAAAATATCACTAATAAGTAGCTATTAAAGGAAGATATGGTTGTGGTTAAAAAGTTAAGGAAAGAATACGAGGTTATGAGAAACTAAAAGCACACCATATTTTAATTGCACGGATTATGTCTATATCACTAAAAGAACTATCATTTACTTAGCACTGTCATTTACTTATGGATTTGATTTGGTTTGGCTGTAGAATATTCTGTATCTAATATGTCAACCTAAAGTAAATTACCACATAATAAAAGGTTTTGATAATATCAAGTTATGTTAAGACATTCCTTTCCATTGTAAACTAAGAAGTCATTTTAATTGACAAGATAAAATTCTTATTTGACAGATTTTTCTGATGTACAGAATATTTGTTTCACAGTCATTTCTTGGTTTTTGTTTAATATTTTCATTAGCCTTTATTAATTGTACAGGAGGGTTTCAGCGTGAAATTTCCATATATGCTTACACCTTGGTTAGATTCAGCCCCTCCATCATTCTCCCTAAGCCCCTTTCCCTTTTTAAAAAAAATTCAGTGGGTTTATTGTTCTATTTTCATGCATATTTATAAAGTACATTGATCATATTCACCCTCTCAGTTATTTCTTAAGCAGTTTAATTTACTCTGTTTTGTTGTTCTCACAAATCAGGAGACCCAGTAGGCTACAACTTGTCAAAGATTTGTCTGTCTAACTTCTTTTCTTGTTTGGGAAATGGTTACCACAGGAACATGCTTGTCGTACCCACATCCTGAAGCAGCTGGTATGTTTCTTTTGCAGGAAATTGTAAACTTTTGTTAGGAGTTTGTGAATGTCTGGCAATGTAGTTTTATCTTGTGTAGTGCCTTTGCTGTTTTTCTAGAAATGAGAATTAGCTGGCTTCTGATATGTGTTTACATAACTTTATCCTTTTAACTACATAGTGGAGAAATATGCCCTATACAGACTTTCATATATCCTGTAACTTATTTCATTATCAACTCTATTTTTGAAGCTTTTATCTCTTCAAGAACATTTGTATGTATTCCTACATACAAATAAAAAATATGTTTCAACTTATAAAATATATTATCTGCCTTAAACAGTCTATGATGAGAGACAGAAGGGCAATGCAGCCTGGCTTAGCTAATGAAAACAGTTATCCATATTTATTGTTGCAAATTTGGATTTTTATTGCTACAAGTAAATGCATAACTTAGTAATTAATCTTCAAATAGTTTGTGTTCTTAACTTACTTTATAGATAGCTGTACCCACCATAAAGAACTGATACCTCCCAGTTTTGAGCCTTGCTTTTAAAAGTGCTTGCACTGCAAGAGTAAGCTATCACACATAAAATTTCTTAATATTATGCCCAGAAATTGGCATAAAGGAGACTTTTGTTTATGTGCATATTATATTTAGCCACTAAAAATTTCACTCCTATTTCTTAACATTATTGCTTAAATTATCATACTCCATTTATAGAATGGCTACAGATAAGGAAACTCTAGCCAGGGAATAGTGTTCTTAGAAAGATTTCTCTCCCCTAAGAAGGAGCAATATCTCTGTGAACCTTAACTCCCCTAGTCCCAATAAGAAGTCGGTTCTCTGATTCTCACTGGCAAATGAGTCCTCTTCCATAGCATTTTGGTTTTAGGTAAGTTGCTTCCTAGAAGTTACTTACTGAATGAACTTAAGAATGAATCTAGAGATTCCACAGCCAGAGATCCAACCTATCACATATCAAAAATATTTGATGATAAATTTCATCGGTACTAAACATGTACAGACCTTTTTTCTTGTCATTATTTCCTAAACAACATAGTATAACAACATAGCACTTACATTATATAAGGTATTATCCTAAGTGATCTAGAGATGATTTAAAGTATATATGAGAATTGCTTAGGTTAAATGCACAAATATTACATAATTTTCTATAAAATACTTAAGCACTATACACTTAGGCATACACGAGGATGGGTGTTCTGGAAGCAATCCTCCTTTTATAATGAAGGATAGATGTACAAAAATTTGGTATTAACAAATTAAAATAAGTTCACAGCTGTCATGTCCTAAAGACCCAGGCTTTTCTAAGTCTCTGCAAAACTCTACTGTGTATGCCACAGCCAAGTTGTAGTTGAAATTCTTACAATTTAAAAGGATGTTTTGTTCCTAGCACATCATCCGTGTTATTTCAGCTGCTTGGTAATGATCATTAATTGCTGCTGTTTTTACTTTTACTGAAAATTGCTGTTTAAGTTCATGTTCAGTTTTTACGCTAGTTGGTTGCTTATGATTTTCTAATTACATTTTAAGTTGTGTTCATGTGTTATGTTTAATGTCCATACTCCTGTCACTACAGCAACATACATGCCTATCTTCCAATTTTTGTATACAATGGCATTATCACCAGGCTGTTTTCCACTGAATAGGAATGTGGGACTAAATGGGTCATAGAATTGCTTGTTCTCCTAAGAAGTCTCATCTAATTTGTTTCGGCCAAAGACTCTAGACACAATCTTGACCATCTGGTTCTTATTCTCTAATCCTGGTGTTGATCAGTGACTTTATAGACCCAATTTCTGATAGTAATTCTCTTCTCCAATATAGTTTTCACCTTGTTCCTGACTTCTCAGTGACTAGCCTTTATAGTTTATTATTTGTTCTATTTCTTTATAAGCAGAATGTCAACTTGAAGTCTGTACTACTCATGTGACATTGCTAGATAGCTTGATCAAGCACAGAAAAAGGTTTTAATAAATGAGGGTTTTAATGGCATGCAATAGGTCTATTTTTATCATTTAAAATTATATTAGGCCAGGGTGCCATAATAAAAAAATCTGTAGACTTGGTGGCTTAGATAGAAGATATTTATTTTTCACAATTCTAGAGGCTGGGAAGTCCAATGTATAGGGATTAACCAATAGGGATCTAAAAGGAGAGCTGTTTTCTTGGATTTCAGCTGGCTAATTTCCTGCTGTGTCATCACAAGATTAAGAGCAAGGGAACTCTGGTCTTTCTCATGAAGACACTTATCTCACTGTGGGGTTCTACCTTCATGACCTCCTCTAAACCCAATTGCCTCCTAAAGGCCAAGTTCCAAATTCTATCACATATTCACATATGTGTTTGGGGAGGAGGACACTAACCCTCAGCCCATAATATTCATATTTATTTAGGGTGCTTACAAAATGTCTCAAAGTAGAAATGTACTAATCAAAATGAAATTGCTTGTTTCATGGCCTTTTTAAATCCTCTGTTAGGAAAGTGGTCTTAACCTTGTCTTTTGACCATTTTAATTATTAATCTTACATGTAAGTGTAGTGAATTTTTTGTGGAATTCTGCAGGGCTCTGGAAGACGTAATGTTTTCTGTTTTTGAATAGGCAGGAATACAGCTCACTTTTAGGCAGCCTTAGTAAGTAGTTGCTTAAAGAGTAGAGTTAAGTTGTCCGCTGAGGCCATTGTACTATGAAAACTCTGCCTGTCACTTTACTTAATGTCACATTATCACTCCTTTGGATTATGGTATCAGCACATGATGAAGTACAAACATTTCCTAAAATAGTAACATGAATCATGATCAGTCTCCAAAATAGAAGGGAACTGGGAATGAAGTTTGATGCTGAAAGGAATATTCCCACTATCATTGTATTTTTGTGTTGAAGATTACACATTTCATAGCTGCAGTTTTTCCTCTCCATTTGCTTAGAGTTTTACCTCTAAGTTTTTTCAGTAATAGTAAAGCTACCTGACTAGCTTTTTTGGCCTAATCCTCATTATATCTTGGCTGGGTCTCCAATATCTCCTAGAATACTCACCTGTGGAAATAAGGATAGTAATTCTAACTTACAGAGCAGAATATCAGGGTATTAGTTTTGAAAGGCAATTATAGCTATCCCAGCACCATAGCTGCTGTAGGCTAAGGAATTCAGAGGGCTAGCT